GTGTGGTGGAGCGCAGGTGTTCTCACCGTGTGGTGGAGCGCAGGTGTCGATTCTCACCGTGTGGTAGAGAGCAGGTGTCGATGCTCACCGTGTGGTAGAGCCTGCCTGAGTGTCAGTTCTCACCGTGTGGTAGAGCGCAGGTGTCGGTTCTCACTGTGTGGTAGAGCCTGCCCGAGTGTCTGCCTGAGCCAATGTTCTTACCTGTTGAGCCATCTCTCCAGCCCCCAAATTTATTTATTTTACTTTATGTATACAGATGATTTGCCTATGTGTATCACATGTGTTTCTGGTGCCCAAGGTGGTCAGAAAGGGTATTGTATTCCCTAGGACTGGAGTTACATATGGTTATAAGCTGTGGTTCTGAGAATCAATCCTGGGTCCCCCGGAAGAGTAACAAGTGCTCTCAACAATTGAGTCATCTCTCCAGCCCAAAACTTCTTTGTGGGGGGAGGGAGGTGTGTGTGTGTTGGGGAATATTATTTTTAGGTGTACTTTTGCTTATGTTGCATTTGTTTAACTTTATGAAGCTGTGATTCTTTGCTTGTCCAAAACACCTGGTGGTCCTAATAATGAACGGAATGGCCAACAGCGAGGCAGGAGCAAGGGTAGGTGGGGCTGGCAGACAGAGAGAATAAATAGCAGGAGAACCGAGGAAGACGAGGAGCAATGAGGGAATGTGACATTAGGGGCCAGCCACCCAGCCACCCAGGCAGCCAGCCACCCAGCCACCCAGCCACCCAGGCAGCCAGCCACCCAGGCACCCAGCCATCCAGGCACCCAGCCACCCAGGCACCCAGCCACACAGGCAGCCGTGGAGGAAAAGTGAAAGTAAGATTTACAGAAGTGAGAAAAGGGAAAAAACCAGAGGCAAAAGGTAGCCAGGATAGAAACAAGCCAAGGCCGAGTACTCATAACTAAGAGTAAGTCTCCGTGTGTTGTTTATTTGGGGAGCTGGGTGGCAGACTCCTCAAAAAGTCTCCCCCCCCAAAAAAAAATGAAAGAAAAGAAATAGCCAGAAGAGAAAAGAGCAAAAACATCGCACTGCAGAGAGGAGAGCGTTTCACCATGTAACTTAGACTGGCCTTGTACTCACTTTGTAGCCCAGGCTGGCCCAGAACTCCTGTGTGCCACCGCACTCAGCTATGAGAACTGTAATGAGCCCAGGCTTGCCTCCTTCTGTGCAGTGCTCTGTAGACAGGAATCTTGCCCAAGGGCCCAGCCCTTCTGTCTGTCTCATTCTCTGCTCTCTTTGCCCGCCCCTCTCAGGCATGTCTAGCCAGGCAACCTCCGATTTCCACCTGATGAGGGCAGTGGCTGAAGAAACTCGGCTCAGTCCTATGGCGCGGCAGCAGCAACTGGCCCGGCTTGTGGATAACATCCAGAGGTACAGGCCACAGGTTCTCTTGACCAGGCTGGCCTCCCCAGTTCTCCTCCCACCAAGTGTAGCCTATGAGTTTTCTGAAGCTAAATTATTTTTTGTGTCTTAAAAATATTTATTTCTTAATAATTTCAAGTACATGAAATATACGCATATATAATGTTATATAATGTTCTTTGATCATAGTCTGCTATTGTTCTTGTCTGTCCCACTGAACCTCTTCCCAAGAAACCCTCTTACTTCCACGCCTTTCTGGTGTCTCATTGTATTTAGTTTGAGCTGCCTACAGAAGTGTGTGTGGGTATCTGTTCAAGGACAATTCACCAGTGTCCACGCCACTGAGGAGTATGATTCCCCTCTCCCAGCAGCCATTGACTGCCCAAGGCACCAGGAGGAGGAGTGAAGGCCCCTGAGCCCCTCCTCTTTCCACACTGATAGACTAGTCTAGAACAGGTAGCCACCCCACAGTGGGTTCACATGTACCGTAGCCATGGTTTGTAAACTGTCTGCTTTTTCCTTTCCTGGATGCCCAGACTGAATAATCACACACAAACTTTATTAATTACAACACTGTTTGGCTAAAGGCTCAGGCATATTTCTAGCTAGCTCTTACATCTTAAATTAACCAATTTCTGTTATTTTATATTTTACTATGAAGCTCGTGGTTTGTTACCTCACATCTTGCTACTTTGACGGCTACATGACATCTGCCTGACTCCGCCTTCTTTCTTCCTGTATTCAGTTTGGTTTCTCTGCCTAACTGTATTCTGCCCTGCCATAGGCCAAAGAAGCTTCTTTTTTTTTTTTTTAAATTTATTTATTAATTATGTATACAGCATTCTACTTGTATGTGTCCCTGCAGGCCAGAAGAGGGCACCAGCTCTCATTACAGATGGTCGTGAGCCATCATGTGGTTGCTGGGAATTGAACTCAGAACCTCTGGAAGAACAGTCAGTGCTCTTAACCTCTGAGCCAAATCTCCAACCCCAAAGAAGCTTCTTTATTAATCATGGTGATAAAATGGATTCACAGCGTTCAGAGGGGCATACCACAGAAATGTCTCATCTGAAAGATAAAGCTATATTCCTGCTTCCCATCCTTTATCCTTCCCCATCTGCTCCCAGGCCAACATAGTTCCCAGGAGAAATCTGTATATACCAACTCCACATAATGCCTCTGGTAAATGGTTTATTCTGGGATGGTATCTCATTGACAGGAGCAGGCAGCCCTGCTGTGAACGATACGTCTTGCCATTTTTAATCTTTACAAGTGTATGATACAGTATCTAACAGTATCTACATTGTGCCCTTCAGAAAGCCTGCTCAGGGTCATCATACAGTGAAACTGGGTTTGCCTTGGAACCCCTGTGCCCCACTGCAAGCCTCCCCTCCCTTCCTGTCCTCTGTGGGCACAGTGTTTGACACAATATATATATATATATATGTATATATATATATATATATATATATATATTATAGATATCATGAGAAATAGAAGCCAGAAGCTCTAAAGGATAGAAAATCACCCCTGAATGATTCAGCAGTAATGACACAATAATATTGTACCTGTGATATTTAAAAGCCCTCAGCAGAGGTACACTGACTGGAAATGACTTTGTTTACAGGAACCAAATGGCTCGCTTTGAGCTTGAGAGCTGGGGGCTGCAGTTTGGAAGCCAGCTCTCCCTGACTGGCCGAGTCGTTCCCTCTGAGAAAATACTGCTGCAGGACCACACAGTGAGCTGCCTTTTTTTTTTTTTTTTTTTTTTTTTTTTTTTTTTTTTTTTTTCATTTGGAAGGGTTTGTTTGAAAATGTGTACGATGACTCACTTACCAGGGTGATGGGGTTTGGTGTATGTGTTAGGCCATGGCCTTTCCTGTCTTTGTCCTAAGACTTTGAGTTTCTTTTGGTTTTCTCTTTGGTGTCAGTTTAGTTGTGTGGACTTAGTGGTATCCTATGGGCATGGCTCAGTTTTGTTTTGTTTTGTTTTGTTTTTACTTTTGGTTTTCTCTCTCTCTCTCTCTCTCTCTCTCTCTCTCTCTCTCTCCTTCCTTCCTTCCTTCCTTCCTTCCTTCCTTCTTCTTTCCTTTTTTTAAAACAGGGTTTCTTAGTATCTATGGAGCTAGTCCTAAACTTGCTCTGTAGACCAGGCCAGCCTTAAACTCACAGAGATCCACTGCCTCTGCCCCCTGAGTGCTGGGATAATAGGTGTGTACTACCACGATCTGGCTGTTCAGGTACTTTTATAATTGCTGTTTCAAACTATTGCAAATCCCACATGGCTGCCTATGAGCAGCGGTCACTCTTACGTACATAAAACAAGCAAGCATGATCACCCAGGTAAATCCTAACGGAGAGAGGGTGACTTTAACCGCTGACACTGTCCAGTTTCACATAGAAGGCCAGTGATTCATACAGACCTCACCCCTGGACACGGGGCTTGGGCAGAAGTGGGCTGAGGCATGAACAAAGAAATCACACTTCATCTAGGCTTTGGTTGAAGAAATGAAAGGGGCATCAAAATGTCGATGGCCACTTGATTGCAGACGGCTGTGTTATCAGCTTCTTGACCTACGCCTTTTCTGAAGCCAGGCCCTACGGCTCAAGTGAACTAAAGGTCTGAGGGCCCTTTGTCCTGGACTGTGGTCTCCACAGAGCAACAGCAGCAGTGCGGTCAGCGAGCAGGGCTCACTGCACACGGGAATGAACGTGGTTCCCAGAGTAAGCACATAGAGGGGTCAGCCTTCGCTACCGTTTGTGTGTTAAGTCTCCTGTCACTCCGTCCCAGCCATACACCTGACGCAGAGGGCCGTGACTGGCGCTCAATGCTTGGCTATGACAAAGTGTTCTAACCTTGTCCTCGCTGCCGCCTGACTCTCAGCACTTCTCTGTGCTGCCAATCTTCAGTTTGTAAAAACTGAGAAACATCACGTTGCTTCTGCAAAAACTAGTAGCCTTGGCCCTGGATGATGGTTCAGTCGGTCCTGAGTTCAGATCCCCGGCAGCCATGGAGAGCTAGGTGTAGCAGTTACACCTGTATCCTCCCCACTGGGATGCCTGGGGCTTTGAACACACACAAACGTGCACACAAGCACACGTGTGAAACCACTGTCGGCTTCCTCTTTGCTCTGCTGTGTAGCTGTTCCTCACTAAAAGTCTCATCTGCCTGTGGGCCTAATCTACCAGAGCACGGTGAACTTTAGAGCGTCCATAGTCATCCTTTAGAATGCTCTAAGCAAGAAGTCCCAAGGGGGCCTGGAGAGATGGCTCGTGGTTAAGAGCATTGCCTGCTCTTCCAAAGGTCCCGAGTTCAATTCCCAGCAACCACATGGTGGCTCACAACCATCTGTAATGAGGTCTGGTGCCCTCTTCTGGCCTTCAGGCATACACACAGAAAGAATATTGTATACACAATAAATAAATAAATAAATAAATAAATAAATAAATAAATAAATATTTTTTTAAAAAAAAGAAGTCCCAAGGGGACAGCCTGCAACCCTAGTGTCTCTGAGAAAAGACAAACAGGTGTAAGGGAACGCCGAGGTCTCTTTTTCAGTCAGACACCAGCAGTATGTCCCATCCACGGTGACCTACACTGGACCCATCAGACCTTGCCTGACTCCCGATGCCTCTGCATCCAGGAAACCCGTGTGTCCTGAGAGAGGCATAGTGTCTCACCCATAACCTTTAGTTGTTCTTGTGACAAGCGTTTTTAAATCGCTCTCTGAATAACTTGGGCCCTTTCGGGACCTCGGTTTTCCTCAGTGTCACCCCGCGTCTGCTGCTGATTGGTCCAAGGATATGCGCTCCTGCAGAGTTTTGAGTTCTGAGCCTTTGAACAGATGGATGGTCATATGCTGCAGCAGGGCTGAGAACCTGATCGAAGGCCTCCTGAGCTGCTTGAGGAGAGTTGGCGGGCCCATGGGATTTAACGTGAGCTACCCCAAAATGTGAGGATACGGTGAACTTTGTGAATATTAATTTGGTTTGAAAGTTGAAAATAATGCCTGGCATATTTATAAACCATTCATTTTAAACAAGGTGGTAGTGGTGCACACCTTTAAGCCCAGAGGGAAGCAGAGGCAGGTGGATCTCTGAGTTCAAGGCCAGCCTGGTCTACAAAGTGAGTTCCAGGACAGCCAGGACTATTACACAGATAACCCCTATCTCAAAAAAGAGCATTCATTTTAGTAATGTTTATTTTTTAAAAATTGACTGTAAAAAATGATGTGTATGGCAGTGGAAGGCAGAGGTGGGGTCAGAAAGTGGTTCTGAGTTACCCAATGGGAGCGCTAGGAAATGAACTTCAGCCCTCTGAAAGTAAATGCGTGCTCTTAACTTGTGGGCCATCTCTCCAGGTCACCATTGATGTTTCTGTTTGGGGGGAGGGGAGCAATATTTCTTAAAATGTCAAAAATAGTCACAAGAAGATAGACTTTATATTTATTTAATTGTTTTATAAAGCTAAAATTTGGGAGCTGAAGATGGCTCTGCAGTTGAGAGCACTGGGACCAGGTTCAGTTCCCAACACTCACATGGCTGCTCACGTGTGTAGGTAACTCAAGTTCTAGGGGATTTGATGGCTTTTTCTTGCCTCTTAAGGTACCCGGCACACAGGCATGCATGCAGACAAAGCACTCATGTACAGAAAAAAAAATATATGTAAATCTTTTAGAACCCTAAAATACATGTTACTATCTTTGTAAAAGTTTGTTTTTTGGGTGAGTCTCATTCCCTCCGAATCTTTCGCTGTCAGTTGGTCTACATTGTGAATGGTCCACGTGGTGTCTTCTCTGCTGTGACCCTTCAGGTCAGCTGTTTATAAAACTTAACAGCAAACATGATATTAAAAAGGGAGCATTGCACTTTCTGGCTGACTTGGTAGGGCTTAGGCTTCCCAAAGTTATGGTAAGATGCGTGTCAGGGAAGCTTTCTGACAAATGAAAAGCCAAGGTCATCCTTGTGGCGTGTTGAGTAACTCCCGTGCACTAGATCCTCGGGTGGCTGCCAGGAATGAAGAAGAAAGGGACTTAGACTTACATGGGTACAGACACAGTCAAGCTCAGAACTGCATATCGTTTAGCCCTGGAATTGACCTTGATGTACTTGTAGGGAGCCAGGCTCACTCTTACCGTCTTGTGGGAAGTTACTCCGCAAACACTAACTAATTACCTCAGCAGCATGTGTAGCATCCAAAGCCACAGCTCTTCCCAAAGTCTCCTCTTAAAAACCACATTAGAATTTTCCTCTTCTCACCGCATCTGCTGACAAGTCATCAGATTCGGGTTCCCCCTTCTCTGGTGTCTCTACGCTAGGAGTTAACACAGCAGGAAAGAGGTCGCCGCCACAGTCAGCAAACCTGGGCTGCTCGGACAGTCTGTGGGTCACACAGGTTCAGCAAGCAAGCCTGTGCCCATATGACTTTGGACTTTTCTTATATAGAAGCCTTTATTTTATTCCACTTTTTCTCATCTGTGCAGTATCATTTGCCTGCTAGAGTCACATGCCCGGCCTCTTTCATCTAAAATGCCTACCTGGTGTCAATGCATGTGTCTGAGCTAGGGTGTGAGGGTCGGCACTGGGAAAGTCCAAACCACTGACTTACTGAGGCAGGGCTTGCAGTCCTTCAGGTGGCTGTTGGGAGAGGGCAGGAGGCCTGCCATATGCTGGGCCTCTGGCACTGAGGCCACTGAGCACTGAGATTCTTCCTCTCCCTCCTCCCCACTGCCTACGGGGAGCAGACAATTTTATTTCATGTACAGAGACTAGACTGGTCAATGCCCACCCTGTAACCTCTGGCCCCTGATACAATTATGTAATTGAAAATACTTGCTGACTTACAGGCTGTTCCCAGGGAAGACCAAACATGGCCGCCACCACCTCTTTTGAGATTTGTGTGGATTAGTCGAAAACCTTGGCCATTAATTGATTCCTGAGGCATTTTGCAAATTTCAATCCTGCTTCAGACATTTTAAGTTATGGGTTTGAAGTTTCAGAAGTTCATGTTTAACCCATTTTTGAATAGCAGAACTATTAACTAAGGGGATTCTGTACAATTGAGAAAATTTCTACTTATACCAATTTTAATATGCTAACCAAATGGTCATTGAGTATTTTGACATATGTACTGGAGAAGCTAGATTTGAGAGGGTTTCATTTTTCTCTAAGGATTTTTTTTTTCATAAGGTGGCTGGTCTGTTGAAGAGCCCATCAGTATTTTTTCTCATGCCCCATGATCGCATGTTACTAAAGGACATTAATCTTTCTGTGTAGCATAAAAGTAGACGAAAGACCGGCAGCATTCCTCCGAGCCATCCAGCTCCACGTAGACCCTGATGTTCAGCTGGTGAGTGTGGCCTGTGCTCTGGGTTTTAGATGCTTAAACTATTTATACTTTCTTAGGTCTGAAGTCTTAAAAAAGTTCTGAACATGCTGTCTGTCTTAGTCAGGGCTACTATTGCTGTGATGAAACACCATGACCACAGCAACTGGGGAGAAGGGGGTTTGTCTGGTCATGCTTCCACATCATAGTTCATCACTGAAGAAGTCAGAACAGGGGCTCAAGCAGGGCAGGGACCTGGAGGCCGAAGCTGATGCTTGCCCGGTTGTGTGTGTGTGTGTGTGTGTGTACCCATGTGTATGTGGTGTGTGCATGCCCTTGTGTATGTGCCTACTCCCTTGTATGCACACCCGTGTGTGCATGGGTTCTTGTTTGCCTGCCTGTGTATATGTGTATGTGTGTCTCTATTCCTTCTTTGCATGCATGTATTGCTGACTTTGCAGACTGGGGCCTAAGCATGATTTTATCACACTCCAGGAAAGTTAAGATTGGCCTCCCTGTTAGTAGAAAACTTTCTATTTACAATAAAAATTTGCAGTTTACTCATCTCTCAGGCCTGGGCCCCCACAGCTGAGCCATGCAATTGCCTGCATGACTGTTAAGTTTCCCTGCAGACCGCTGCGGTTATCTCTGTCTGCTACACACACACACACACACACACACACACACACACACACACTTCAATGGATAGTATATTAAATAATTCTCACTCTAAGAGCATTAAATTTAATAAACGTAAAACTGTGAAGAAAACTGCAAACATGCTTTGCACAAAAACTCACGATTTTTCCCAGAACCCAGGGTTCCTGACATTTTCTATATTTTTTTTTGGAACCTTTGAGTGTACATCACAGGGTACCCTTTACTCTCAACTGCTCTTGATACAAATGTCCTAAAAACAAGGCCTCTGTACCCCAGAACCACAGGGTGGCCAGCTAACCTTTGGAGAAAGAGCATGCAAGAAAAAGGAAATGATTCAGTTCCGGAGAGGATGAGGAGGAATCATGGCTGTATCCACAACTTGAATACCTGTATAGCTAGCTGACTTTGCCAGGGTGATGGGTACAATCGGAGGGAAACTGGCCGAGTGAAATGGCATTTCAAGTGGTACGGATTCATTTATCAGGGATCCACAGCCGTGCTTGTTTTTGCTTCTTGGGCACACAGGGCAGATGGTATCTAGAGAATCCATGCTTTTGTCCTGACTCTCCCACCAGACCCGTTCAGAGACAAAGCGTGTTTAAATAGCCTCTAGGGTGTTTGCAGAACCTACATTTACATGTTGCCCATAAGCTGTTCAAAAGGGTAAGTGGCTGGGTTTGATCTGGTGTCATTTTGCTTTTAGGTGATGTGCATTCTGCCTTCTAATCAGAAGAACTACTATGACTCCATTAAAAAATACCTGAGCTCTGACTGCCCGACCCCAAGCCAGTGTGTGCTGTCCCGGACGCTGACTAAGCAAGGAATGATGATGAGTGTGGCCACCAAGATTGCCATGCAGATGACCTGCAAGCTTGGCGGCGAGCTGTGGGCCGTGGAGATTCCGGTGAGGACCGCCACAGTTTCCTTTGTCGTGACCAATAGTTTCCAGATCCTATTAGCGATAGTATCATGTGATCCCAGCGTCTCAGTTGCCCATTGATAGCTTGGGGGCAGAGGGCTAGTTCTCAGATCTCCTGAAGATGCCCAGTTTCCTTAGAGAATGTATTGCTGTGGTGTGTGCAGGCAGCCCACAAGTGTCTCCTGCATACTTTCGGTTGGATCCAAATTGCTTCTAGCTGTTAATACAATGGGCGTGCAAACCTGTGATCCACTGTGGTCCACTCTTTCTGATGTGTGTGTGTGTGTGTGTGGTTGAGCTCCCCTGGGATAGGCATTGCACAAGCCTTGGCAGAGCAGTTCCAGAAGGGGGTGAGGCACACCCCTCCTCTCAGGGAGCTTCTGTTTAGCTGCTGATGAACTTCATGGGAGAGACTCGCAGGTGTCACAGAACTGGGGGAGGATTGATTTGGATTCTCCTGGCTGCCATTTTAACCCCTGTCCCATGGTCTCTACTTTGATGTGTGGTCAGCGGACTGTGCCTTCTCAGAGGGAACATAGCCTGCTGTCTGGACCTATGTCCAGTACAGTGTGCCTTTTCAGAGTGGCCTTGCACCCCGAGGGAACACAGCCTGCTCTCTGAACTGCTCACGCTGTGGTGGGTACTCACCAGATGCCTGATGAGTGAGGATGGGAAGTAGCAATGCTGGCCTGTCCCTCGTACCTCCTCAGCCATGGCGAATGTGGTCATAGCTAAGTGAGGAGCCTCAGCCAGCAGTCGGGAGAACAGGAGTGGGGTTCATCTTCAGATCTTCCTGATCAGGTAGAGGATGGAGGGACTGTCACCTTCCTTGTCCCCCTCTGCCCGACACCCACTCCCAGAAGGCAGATGGCCACTTAAGCCCTTCAGCGAAGTATCTATCATAATGTTCCTCCACCTTTCTTTCTTCGGTGTCTGGTGTAATCATCTGTCCCATCTGAAGCTTGATTTCTTGGGCATCTAGCTTAACTTGAATAATGTGCTAACTGGAGAGATTTTTAAATGCCGTTGTTTGGGGGAAATACGCTCATGCCATTAAATCATGACTGCCTTCATTTAACAGTTGAAGTCCCTGATGGTGGTGGGTGTTGATATCTGCAGGGATGCCCTCAACAAGGATGTGGCAGTTGTCGGGTTTGTAGCCAGCATTAACTCCAGGATCACCAGGTACCTTTGGGACTGCTTATGTGAGTATGTGTTTAGGGATGACAACTTTGGACTGGATAAACTCTCAGTGGTTTACCCTGGAGAATTACAATTCTCTCTCTTTGCAACCATTCATTACCTTCATCTAGGGACAGATTATGAAATTCTCCAATATATGTATATGTATGTATGTGTGCATATATATATGTTAAAATTATTGTTAGAATGTGCTTTAAAGTTTAAAGTAGCACATATTAATAGCATAGGCCAGTGGTTCTCAGCCTGTGGGTTGCGACCCCAAGCAGCCCTTTCACAGGACTCGCATATCAGATATTTACATTACAATTAATAATAGCAGCAACAATTATGAAGTAGTATAGTTTTATGGTTGGGGTCACTGCAACATAAGGAACTATATTGAAGGGCCTCAGCATTAGGAAGGTTGAGAACCATTGGTATAGATGTTTAATTATATTTTCAATGTACTTTATCAGTTCACCTCATTATTGTTCTGTTACACTCTAAAATATTTTATTAATTTATGTATGTGTATGGAAACACAAATGCCAAGGTGTGTGGGGGTCAGAAGACAACTTGCAGGAGAAGACAGTAGCTGGTTTTCTCCTGGTACCATCTGGGGCCTGGGATTGAACTCGGATCGTCAGGCTTGGTGTTGAGAGCCTTTACCTTCTGAGTCACCTCGCCTGCTCCTCCACCCGATTTTTAATTACATTTTGAAGAACTTATGATGTGCATACCGGTCTTTATCATTTACTCCTATTTTAAATGCTGATAGTTAAATTAATGAATTCTATGGCACTAGTAGAGTAAAATGAAGCCTCAGTTTAAAGCCGTTCCACATGTTTGCTGGGGTGAGTTATTGTTTCTACTCCAGCTGCATCCCTGGATCCTGAATGCTGGGAAGCCTTGTGCCTGCTGTTCTGAGTGTGGGGGAGAAGCGCTGTGTGCACTGTATAAAACACCTTAGCGTTGAAAACAGACTGCTTTCAGTTCTACCTGGTCTGCGTTTCCCTCTGCAGCTGAGGCCCAATTGTCTAGTTACCTACAAGCCCCGTAGTTACCCATTAAATGGTGAGAGTGACTGACTAGTTCGTAAGGCTTCTGTGGGACTCTGTTGGATCAGAGCGTCAGCATTGCAACCTGAACTGCATGTTTCTGTACATGCAGTTCTCTTCCTTGTCAGCACTTGGACGTGCACCATGTGTGGGGCGTGCAAAAGGCGGTTAAAGTCGGGGCAAGGGTAGAAAAGCCTGGAACAGGCTTCTGGCTCTTGTTACATTGTAGTCTTAGGATTGCTTCTGGCTCTTGTTACATTGTAGTTTTAGGATTGCTTCAGGATTTTTAATTAAATAATATGTTTTGAGGCCATAGCAGCTGCTTACAAAATCTTTTGTTTCCTGGTCTCAGCAGTTTGATTTACTCCATTAAATTAGTGGTAGGTGTGGAGCTGCACTTTTAAGATACAGGAAGAGTAAACACCTTGCTTGCCCGGACACAGCTCATTCCGGGTGGTGTGCGGTTCCTGTCAGGACATCAGCCATTTCTCAAGCGGAGCTGAGAAAGCACCTGCTCTGCCATCTCAATGTCGCTCGAGATTGAGAAGCATTTGTGAATGTGTTACCTTAAGTACAGATAGGGAACTGTGACAATGATGGCACCACGCGTTAGTCACTTCCTGTTGATGTGAGAAGTCTGAGACCAGCTCTTACAGGAGGAAAACCCGATTCTGCTCATGCGGCAGAGGTGTCAGGCAGTCTCGCAGCCCCATTGTCTGGGCCTGAGATGAGGTTGAACATCTGGGTCTACGCTCAGCACAGCTGCTCACCTCAGGGCAGCAGGAGGTGGAGACAGCAACATGCATTAGAGATTGGGTCAGGAGAGACAGACTACCTTTCAGAGGTGTGTCCTCAGTGGCCCGCATCCAGCAAAGCCTCCTTCCTCAAACACACTTACCTGTTAGTTCAGCTCGGTTCTGTGAGTCAGTCCGATGCTGTACCCTCTGATAGAGTCGCTTCTCCCTAGCGCCACAAGTGAAAGAGCAAGCCTCCAACACTCAAGCCTTTTGAGGGGACCCTTCATATCCATGTCCTGACACCCTAAGTCTTGACTTTCATTTCCCATGTACCTCTAATTAACCACTGTCAAAATCACCCGCTGTCTTGTTGAGATGGTAACTCTGAAGAGTCATGGCTGGGACTGGGTTCAAGCTTGAGGAATCTCTGAACCTTGCATGAGCAGGCGATGTGCTAAATTAGCCCACTCTGTTTGCGGTGCAGGTGTGGGCCTGTGTCTGCAATGCCTGTGTTCCAGGCCGTTCTTATCTTAAGGAGGTGCTAGCTACTGCCCTTTAAACTCCTGGTGCAGGTGGAGAAGTTCAAGTTTGGATTTGTGTCAGGTCACATAGCTGTTGTGACCTGGTCAGGGTTTGAATGCAGATGGCAGCCCTGAAGGATGACTTTAGGCTAGGAAGGGGACCATTTAGTATGGTCGTAGTAGACAGCACGCAGTGTTTGCGGCTGGCATCTGTCTATAACTTAACGGGTGTGTTGTAGTAGGGTCTGGACGTTATGTTTCACGTTCGCGTTTTGTTTATTTCAGGTGGTTTTCCCGATGTGTTCTCCAGAGAAGGGCAGCCGACATTGCAGATTGCCTAAAAGTCTGCATGACTGGTATTTGATGGGGTGGGCTCTGGGGAAACCCCAAATCCACAGACTGCTGGCAGCAAATGCCCGGACCTTCAGTTCTCACCCTGCTGGATATCTCACGTCTGTGTGCTGACTGACAGGCCAACAGACGGTGTAGTGTTTGCATCACTGTGTGTGCTGAGCACAGCGCCCCAAGCGAAGAGCGTGTGGTTACGCAGGTGGCCCTAGCCAACAGTTTGAGGCTGAGTGCGGCCTGCCCTGAGAAATGAGGATGGGAGGCAACATTAATTCTGCACGGGAAGACCAGCCTTTCGTCCTGAGGATGGGCGTGCTCGAAGAAGAAGTGTGGTATACTGGAGGAAGACAGGGAAGACAGGGAGTGAGGGGCTGTGTCCTCTTCCAGCCCCAGCCACTTTGGCCTTTATCATTGATCCATCCGCGTAGCTGCTCTGTTCTCATCTGTGGTTTCCAGTCTCGAAACCTGAGGGGTTGGGATGTCTTTTAAGTGAACTTGACGATCCTTGTTGGGCTTGCTCTTGGAAGTATGATTATCTTCTGTCAAACCGAACCCCTTTCCTAGGCAGTAAAGGCTCCTGAAGTAAATTATGCACTATACACACAAAAAGGAATTACTGTATCCTGTGACTTTCTCCTCATTTAAAAACTTGGCCCATGTTTAGCCGTTCCACTGAGAGCCTCTCTCGTGGAGGAGTTGCCATCTGGTGCCTACCCTGTTTCAGGTTATGGTTAGAGTGGGTGGAGATGGTTCAGACTCCGTCCCATCTGTGAGACTCAGCTCGGGAGTCGGCGTGAGGAGCTGCTGTGAGAGAATGCTGGAGTCACTGCCTTGTGTTTTCGTATTTATTCTCATTAGGGAAGAAGACGATAGCAACACATCCAGCTTGTCTCGAGCAGATTCGAAGACTTAAAGTTGAATTAGTGTTAATTTGGTTCCAGGCATTTGTCTACTGCATGAATTAAATTTTGTTTTCTCACTTCAATACTCAAATTTGGCTAAAGAAATATGTTAAATTTAAGAGTATATTTTGCCACAGAAACCCTTGTGATTGCTCAAATAGCAGAGATAAAGGAATAGTCCCGTTTGCCATTTTTATGTTATTGCAGATACAACCCCAAACTAAGTCGTCTCATTTTACCGTGGTCTGCAAAAACAGAGTTATTTAAAGGCGATGTTATTTTTGGTAGCCCTGGACCGATGACTCTTTTCTCATTAACACTCTCCAGGAGCTCTCAACAAGTGGTACAAGCACAACCATGATTTGCCTTCGCGGATAATCGTGTACCGAGATGGTGTAGGGAATGGGCAGCTGAAGGCAGTGCTGGAATATGAAATCCCGCAGCTACTGAGCAGCATGGCTGAGTGTGGCTCAGGTGCCAGGTATTGTGTTCCCCCTCTCTCTCTGACCCTCATCACATGTATGGCCACGATCCAGGTACTCTGTTCCCTCTCTCTCTCTGACCCTCACCACATGTATGGCCACGATCCAGGTATTCTGTTCCCTCTCTGACCCTCACAGCATGCACGGCCACAATCCAGGTATTCTGTTCCCTCTCTGACACTCACAGCATGTACAACCATGATCCAGGTATTCTGCCCCCCCCTTCCCCTCTCTCTCTGACCCTGACAACTTGTACGGCCATGATCCAGGTGTTCTGCGCTCTCTCTCTCTCTCTCTCTCTTCCCTCTCTGACACTCACAACGTGTACGGCCATGATCCAGGTATTCTCTCTCTCTCTCTCTCTTTCTCTCTCTCTCTCTCTCTCTTTGACACTCACAACACACAACATGTACAGCCACTGTCCTGAATGAGTGCTTTGTGAATATGACTTGTTTTTTAGGCAATGAAGTTTTGCTGTATTTCTGTGCTTTACCTACGTGGATGGGTTTTCCTGAGACTGGAGTGTAGTTCAGATAGTCTAATATTAATATCCTGGTGCTATAAGGTTTTGGGGGGCTTGAGTAAGGCACCGAGAGGGGAGCAGCTGCAGAGTGTTTGCAAGAGCTGGCAGGGGTCAGGATATCAAAGATGCTGTGTATGTACTAATACTCCGCTGGGGGTGGGGAGCTGAGATTCTGAAATTAACACAGAGACAGAGGTACTGGTACAGCCACCAGTACCCAGATAAGTCATGAACAGGGGTGAGGGATCTCTCTGCAGGCAGAAGCCAGACTGTCTAGATCATGCAGCTGCCCTGGTCATTTTTTACTGCCAGATCTGGTGGTGGTGTGAGCAGTTTTCTTGAGTGATTTTGTGGAAGGGAGGATGTAAGGAAAATCCTAGAATGGGAAAGAGCAAGAGCTCTCACACTGGGTCTCAAAATTCTTAGGGATCGTCTTATTCCCAGGCAACACAGATCTGGGTCTGGTCACACTCCCACCATGGTCAGCCAAAGCCTCATGATCACCAGCCACAGAGGAATGGTACAGCGTTGGGAAAGCCAGACAGCATACTGGAAATGCCACCTGCAGCTACAGCCAAACTGGCAGCTTCTTTTTTGTTACCAATCCAGATAGACCCTAACTAAAAATAATTGTATGTCTGTCTAGAGAATGAGGAGTCGTGGGTGACTTTTCTTTTGTTTTACGGTGTTTTTAGAATGAATTTTCATTTGTTTCTCTTACAAACTGACCAGACAGACCCAAAACTGTTGGGCTGGGCCTCAGTGCCCTTATTTCCACCTTTTTGGTTGCAGCAGGAGCAGCAGCAGCAGCAGCAGCAGCAGCAGCAGCAGCAGCAGCAGCAGCACTGGCAGCAGCAGCAGCGGTGGCAGCAGACTCTCAGTGGTTGTGGTCAGGAAGAGATGCCTGCTGCGGTTCTTCTCCGAGACAGACCGCACCGTGAAGAACCCCCCGCTCGGCACTGTTGTGGACTCGGAAGCAACACGCACTGAGTGGCAAGTGTCACTGGGAAACTGTGTGTGTGTGCGCACACACACACAGGTGTGCCTGCTCGTGTGGAGGCCAGAGTTTCATGGCAGATACCTTCTCAGATTGCACTCCATCTTCTAGGTTGAGACAGGGTCTCTCACTGCATCTGGAGATGAGTCATTGGCTGGGCCGTCTCTGCTTCCCCAGTGCTGAGACTGACGACAGGCATGCAGCCACGTCTGAGTTTGATTGTGTAGACATGCATGCTGCAGGCCCCGACTCCGGGCTTCAGACTTGCACACACAGCCAGTTCTTGGCTCTCTAACAAACCTCACAGCCCCCAGACTGACCTTTTGCAAGCATGCATAGTGGATTGCTTCAGTTTGACCCTTCTTTGTGACCCCTTTTCTCCACTCCCCCTCTCCCCCCGTTTCTCTGCAGGTATGACTTCTACTTGGTCAGCCAGACTACTAACCGGGGGACTGTTAACCCCACTTACTATAACGTTATCTATGACGACAATGGCTTGAAGCCCGACCACATGCAGAGACTGACCTTCAAACTGTGCCATCTCTACTACAACTGGCAGGTGAGTAACAGTTGTTCACTGAAGTAAGGGTGACGCTAAAGATTAGCGCCTGGGACGAGCCATGTCCTTTCCCCCTCCCGCTCCATACTCCTGACTTCACAGGGAGGGGTGGGCACACGAGTCCTTAAATTCAGGGTTGGAGGAGCCCACTCAGTCGAAGAAGTAAAACAGCAGGAGGCGTCTCAGCAGCCCCAGGTTCAGTCCCCACAGGACTTTAATCCCCCTCAGTACCCCAGGCAAGACTGGGGAAAACAGTTTTGTCAGTTCACACTACACATGAGAGACATGAAGCAAACATGACTGTCCCTGGTGAGGTTAAAAGTCATGGTCTGCCTGTTTGCCTGTGCATTAGGCCTAGGTTTGCTCTGAACCCTCTAGAACATGAGATCACAGGAAGCTTAGGTGGGCACGTGTATCTCCCAGCTTCCACTGTTGAGGCAAACCCCGCCCCCACCAGCCCATCTTGCCAGCGAGCTTTAAGTTTCCAGTGGGCAGGGTTGCCTTCTGCTGGTGAAGTTTAGTTATCATTTATCTAGGACACATTCCATTGGTAAGTAGCCAGTAGGTGAAAAGGCGATTAATTTTTTTTAAAAAATCACTTTGAAAGGCAAACAAGTTTTTCTCTACACTGCTGTCTCTCCTTTTCCTCCCCAGGGCATAATCAGCGTCCCTGCACCCTGCCAGTATGCACACAAGCTGACCTTCCTGGTGGCACAAAGCATTCATAAAGAGCCAAGTTTGGAATTAACCAATAATCTCTTCTACCTGTAAGCACTGGGCCAATAACAGGGTTTGATGGAGATGCAAAAACGCAAAAAAAAAAAAAAAGGAAAAGAAAAGCAGTGTTTTGTACAAATCTACCTAAAGCTCAAGGCTCTTGCTGCCTAAAGAGGGTTGAACCTAATTTTTAGTAATGGGTTTCTTATGGCTTCTTTCATACATCTATGTCCTTGAACTTTGTCCTTGTTTAATGTTGTGTTTTTTTTTTTAAGCAGATGCTTAAGTGAATTCTCACTGTGGCATTTAGGATCTATCACCACAGTTAACTAGGTCCTAAAACAATGTCTGCTTGGTCTTTTGATGGTGGCTAAGTGGGACTTTTAACTTCCTGGGGTTATCAGAGTTTTTCTAAATATTGTGGAGCAATATTTGTAGAGTGGTTTAAGTACTTGTTGCAAAATAAAGGCGATCTGAGCATCATGTATGCGTTTGTTGTTACTGAGAAGATGAGAGACTTGAACCTGAAGTTCAAGTAACTGTGTCACAGACACGCCCACTGGACCTCTCTGTCAATGGATTTTCTGTGTCTGAAGTAGGACCCAGTGCTTGGTCTGTGACAGGATCTCATTGGCCCAGCAGCAGTGCCCTGTGTTGGAGCCCAGCCTGACTTCCCACTCAGGGAAGGCAGAAGCCACAGGAGAGGACCTGGCCAGGTGCAGCTGCAGGGCTCCCGTGCTGTGGCCTCCCTGTCACTAAGAAGCCCATAGTGGATGACTTGGTACCTCTGTTCCAGAACCACCCCTGCCAGCCACAAAGAGGTGGCATCTTTATTTGTAGATCACCAGTTTTTCCTCCCTGACCCACTGACATATAAACAGGTCTTTCTCTCATATGTCCTTACACAGAAATCATCTTCCTCTGCAGGTACTACCCATCCCTTTCCACTCTGCCTCCAAGTGCTGGGATTAAAGGGGTGCAGTCCCTTCCTTCCCATGTGAGTCCTCCCTTCTCACCAGCACTCCTCCCCTGCTGGAGTCCTCCCTTCTCACCTGTAGAAGGAACGGCGGCCTGCCCAGCTAGCTTTACCTGAAATAATTACACGGAAACTGTATTCTTTTAAACACTGCCTGGCCCATTATCTGTAGCCTCTTATTGGCTAACTCTTACATATTGATTCAACCCATTTCTAATAATTTGTGTCACCATGAGGTCGTGGCTTACCAGGAGAGATTCAGCATGTCTGACCTGGCAGCTTCATGGCAGGCAGCTCTCCGTCTCAGCCTGACTGCTTCTTTCTCCCAGCATTTTGTTCTGTCTACTCCGCCTATCTAAGTTGCTGTCCTATCAAAAGCCAAGGCAGTTTCTTTATTAATCAATGAAAGAAAGTAACACATAGACAAATGACTCTCCTCCATCATTTCATTGTCATGAAAAGCCCTAAGTTATTAAAACATTAAATGCCATATTCTGTAGTCTTTGAAAGATATGAAGAATGCCTATCTGAAATACATCTATGCACATCAAGAAAATCTAACTAACATGAATACAAGCTTGACTATTATTGATGATTATCCTTTAACAACTTATATTTCCTAATCATACATTACATTTTTAAATGAACTACACAATCACAATACCTTAATCAAGATCAGAAATACATATACATATAACAAAATTGACCTTAAAATCCATACCAATGCAAATTATTCATATCTATATCATATCCCCCTTTAAATGTAAAAGAATATTTATAAACAATATCTGGGAATACGGACGTAGTTATTTCTCTCCAAACTTCTTCCTGCTGTATAGGGTGCTGTTAATTAGGTCTTTCATGGTGTAACCTGTGTGCCAAGTTCATCTCAGTTGGCAGTTGAGTGAAGTAATTTTTTTGAGGGTATTCACAGCAACCTTTCAGGAGAGCGTGGTCTATCATACCATATTGGGATAGAAGCAATCCACAGGGTCTCATCCTCTGTGAAAACAAAAGAAGAACTTCCTTTCCAAAGTATTATATCCTTAGATGCAAATTCTGAAGTCATAATACCCTTATATCCATTCTGGTTTATCTTGGCAGCCCATATAATAAAATGTCTCTCTGTACTTAGCTCCTTCACAGTCAAAAATTTTAAAGAAAACACAGTGTATATAATCCAGACTCTCTGTGAATTTTCCATTTTTACATGGCTTATTTTATGTATTTTTTAAATCTGTAACTATCTGTACTCTGTCTCTTTAAAGAGTTTACTCCCCCTTTTTTAAGGCATTAACTTTATTCTCTATATTTCTTTTCTTCTCTCTCCCAAGTCTACGTACAGTCATCCAACACTATGACCCATTTAGAAGTCTTTTATGTCTGAATCTGTCCTATTGTGAATCTGTAGTTTTTTTAATCCAGAAACATTTTTTTACTATCTAAGAGCATTTTTATTTTGCAGTTTTAAATCACTAAGCACTTAAGAATCTAAGCTGTGACATTCCTAGGTCAATGTGACTGCCTGCTTGCCCCGCCCAGCCCAACATGGTGGAGCTGCTCTTGCCTCTGAGCCTTGCACATTGCACTGCTAGCATGGCGGAGGCGCTTGTGCCCCTGAGCCGTAGCACGCAATGACCCCCTTTTAGGCACACAGTGAGTCTAGTTGCCATCAAACAAATCGTAGCACTTTACTCCAAATGTTCCATTCTAAAGCTCTGTCTCCCTCAGGAGCCAGACAGAGATCGCAATGGCGGCACAGCCCAGAAACTGGTATTACAAAACCGCCACTTTCTAGTAGACCTGATCCTGCTGCCTACTCATGCAGGAAGAGCTGAGCCATCTCTCTGTAGAAGGAGCTAAAGCGGGCTGTCTCCTCTTCCACCTCCCCGCTTCTCTGTCTTGAGACAGTCTTGTCATGAAATCCGGGCTGGCCTGAAACTTGCATCAGGAACCCTGCCTCAGCCTCCTCAGGTGTGCACTAGCACGCGTGGCCAAAACCATCCTGTCTGTAGGGAGTTCTGTTGTGACCAACGGCAAGTTTGACGTTCACATTTAATACTCAGGAGGCTGTAACAACCACTTCGTGGCTGATGAAGTTGAAGATTAGTTATAAGGTTCAGCAGAGCCGAGGAGATCGACAGGTTGTGTGGATGGACCTGTCCTCTTGCTTTTCTGAGGACACCTGGGGGAGGACCACAAAACTCTAGTGAAACCTGTCAAATGGAAGAGCGCCCTCCCCACCCCAGAGTGCACAAAGGGAGTACCTCGTGTGGGGAGGTGTCACCTGCCGGGGGTCAGCATCATCCATTTTCTTCCTTCAGACTTTAAGGGATGTCCTAATTTGCTGTCGCTGCGATAAACACCACACCACGAGCAAAAGCAACTTGGGGGGAGGGAGAACTCATGTGGTCCCCATCACAGCCCATCATTGAGGGAAATCAAGGCAGGAACTCAACAGGAACAGAGGCAGAAACCACGGAGGAACGTTGCTTGTTGGCTTGTTCTTTCTCCTGGCTTGCTCAGCTTTTTCATGCAGCCCAGGACCACCTACCTAGGGGCGACACCGCATAGTGGCTTGTCACTCTCTCAGTCATTAATCACGAAAATGCCCCCACAGACATGCCCACGCGCCAGTCGGATGAGTTAATTCCTTAATTGAGGTTTCTGGTTTCCAGGTGATTCTAGTTAGTGTCAAGCTGACAAATGAGCAGGAAAAGTTGATCTAGACCCCCCCCCCCATCTTGATCAAATACCTTCTATGTATTAATCTGCCTGCAGCCCTTTGATTCACCAATGCTGGTGTCTATAGCCCTTGCCAAGGACACCTTTCTGCTTGCATCCACCAGAGGGCGCACAACACTGCTCTTTGAGCCGAGTCTTCCATTGCTATGTTGAGAGGTCAGGCTGCATGAGATTAAGAAATCCTCACTTGAATTTTCGATTCCAACAGGCCAGGGGATATGTAGGCTTCTCTTCTGGGGCTCTCTTACCCTGTCTACACCATGAGAAGCAGACTGCACTATGGGAGACAAAACCATAGGAACAGCTTTTTGATGTTCCTTCAGTGCTGTTGGGGTTGAACTCAGGATCTCAAATGTGTTAGCTAAGCATTCTACCATTTAGCTACATGCTTCCCACCCCAAAAACACACACACACACACACACACGAAATTTCACGGATGAAGCCTGGGTGTCTAAATGGTTTTAATACCAGGTTTGATATTTAAAAATACCACGTTTCCATATGCTGCCAGGGTTAATGACAGTTGGTCTACAGAATCTAAGCTCCGTTCCGGCTCTCCTGCTATCTGACTGCCTCCTGTCGCATACATTAATTAGCTTCTCATTAAAGCCACCAGATATGAAGAGAAAGGACACATGTGCCCAGCCCTGATTTGGAGTCCTAGAACTACCACTTGGTAGCTCTGCGACCTAACCACCGTGAGCTTCAGGGGATCTTGTAAAAATTCCTACACCCGTTCCGTAGCTATGATAAGGAAAATAAATGTGAAACCCAATGTAGCTGGCTTTACCAAAGAGGACCACATTATCAGCTCAGATGAGAAGACAGGGAACGACAGTTTGGTCAACGGATTTGTATGAGAGGCACTGTGCTGGACTCGGAATCTTACAGTTCTCCTTCAAGCATCACATTCTTTCCCAGATATTCATTAGTTCCTTTTCTCATTGCTGTGACCAAATCCTTGACAATAAGCACCTTAAGGAAGGAAGGGTTTTTTCTGGCTCAGAGTTTGAAGGGGGCAGTGCATCATGGAAGGAGCGGCAGGTGGCTCAGATGCCGAGACTAAACAGGAAGACCCGCCTCTTCAGCAACCCACTTCCTCCAGCTAGGTCCCGCCCCTTAGCACCACCAACTGGGAATGAGAGGTGGAGCCGCTGGTGGAGGGCAGTTCACATCCAAACCCTAACAGGGCATACTCAACTGGCTGTTTAATGTCACTGACATCTGTGTCTTTTGGTGTCTGCTGTTTGGGAGATCCGAGCTGACCCAATTCTCTCCATGAAGCCAGCATCCTCCTCCTCCTCCTCCTCCTCCTCCTCCTCCTCCTCCTCCTCCTCCTCCTCCTTCTTCTTCTTTTAAATAAAAATTACTTTTAGTCTCAAAATGTCTACCAATCAAAACATGAAATCTGAAGGAAGCTGTGGACCGTGGCACTCCATAACCTTTTCAGTGCCGGGTTTTGATGTAGCAATCACCCATGGGAAAATTTTCTCATAAGCCTTCCAAGTAGACTCCAAGATCTCAAACACTAAGTGCCAACTGCTCTTGAGGCTTGTTGTCAAATTCAGGGTTTCGGTGCTCATGTTAACCTGAGCTTAGCACTTTTGATTGGTCAGTGTCCACTGACCAAGAATAACCAGCAGCTACTCCTGGAAGGATGTAGAGAAGACTCGTTCCCAAAGAAGACAGGATAAAGAGATAAATAAAACAGAAAATACAGAGCCTTCCAGTGGGCTGTGCATCGAAATGTCTTTTGTTTTGTGTAACCATTAATTTTAAATTGTGAATTATAGGTGTACACCCTAAAATACATGGAAAATACAAAAGAGTAGAAAAAAGTCAGCAGCCAGAGGTAAACTTGGTGAGCACTTGGGCTTGCTTCAGTGTAGCCCCTTAGCTGACCCGTCCAGGTAGCTTTGTAAGTTTTGTTTTCCACATCAGGTTACAGTCTGTATATTTTTCTATTTGATTACACATTTTCTGTAGGCATGTTTTCCTGACCAATAGTTCACTGTGTGGATGTAACAAACACCTGCCCCTGTTTTTATCGTATTGTAAACTGTTCCCTGCTGTGGAAACACAGTATACAAGTTTCCTCCCCATGTGTTTTGGGGGTGGTTTCCTGAGGGTAGGAAAAAAATTGCTGAATCAAAAAGTTCTAACACTTAAAGATGTTAATCTTTGTTATTAACATTATTTTATGTGAGTTGTTTTACCTGCATGTGTATGTCTGTGTGTGTGTGTGTGTGTGTGTGTGTGTGTGTGTGTGTGTGTGTGT